GGGATTTGGGGATTTGGGGATTTGGGGATTTGGGGATTTGGGAGATTGGGGGATTGGGGTTTGGGGAATTTGGGGTTGGGGAATTTGGGATTTGGGAAATTTGGAATTTGGGAAATTTGGGATTTGGGAAATTTGGTATTTGGGAAATTTGGGATTTGGGAACTTGGGGATTTGGGAATTTGGGTATTTGTAAAAATAGTCTTAGCAAATTTGAAAACTCGAAATCTCCAAAACTCCAAAATCAAAAAACAAAAAATCCCCCAACCTCAAGACTAGAAACCATCATCCCCCAAACTACACCAAATAACCTAACCAATAATTCCCCAAACCCATCATTCTCCAGATCCCCATAACATCCATCGAATCTCGTCGCAATGTCCGTACGATTCCTTCGGGTGTACAGTCTTTCACCTGTGTCCAGTCAGCAACATCTTTCGCTCCAGCTGTTGGATGAAGGAAGAGAGTCAAATCGAAAAAGAAGGAATGGAAACGGTGGCAGAGAACGGCTGGCGATCTGACGGCGGTTCGATCGTGGGGGGGAACGAGCTCGCAAGTAAGCACGGTAGGCCCGTTTGAGTCTCAACTTTACGTAGAAGGCGGAAAGAGTTGAAAAGAGTAGTTGAAGAGGGGGGTGAGTGTACAGCAGGGACGATCGAGATCGTGAGTAGGTCACTGGGACGTGGCTCGTGGCCGAGACGAGCCTGGCTTGCACCTACAGTCAGTCCCCGTCGGCCAAGGTAGCCACCGTTGGGCCCGTCGAGTCGCGGTAGACAGGCAAACAGTTCCTTTTTTTCCGGGAAACAGGGAAAAACGGTCACGCTGTCGGGCCCGATGACGAACAACTGACGATACGCGTGTTCCCGGGATCGTTTCGTGTGCAAGGGGGGTGTCCTAACATTCGCTAGAACGTTTTCGAAAGGTACTAGGGAAATCTTTCGGACAGCAGTGTGTGCACTTCTGGAAGACGTGGATAAGCATTCGAGAGGAAGGTGCTTCTTTTTTCTTCATTTTTTTATATGATTATCTGGAGGGGTTAGGGAAATTTATTGTAGTATGTGATTTTGGTGTGGGGTAGGTTTTGTATCCACCATATGGGATATGTCATATTAGGTTTGATATGTGTAGAAAAATTCTTGGTACGTAAGGGGACAAGTTTGGTGTGAATTTAGGAATTTGGGGATTTTGGGGATTTCGGGAATTTGGAGAATTTTGGGGATTTAGGGAATTTGGAGAATTTGGGTGATTTAAGGAATTTGGAGGATTTGGGTAATTTTGGGGATTTAGGGAATTTGCGTAATTTAAGGAATTTGGAGGATTTGGGTAATTTTGGAGATTTAGGGAATTTGGAGGATTTGGGAGATTTGTGTATTCCCTAATGTGGATTTATCCTAATCAGACGAGTGTTAAAATGGAGGACGTCACGTGGTGTGACATACACCCTAGTGAAACTAAAACGATTGCTTCAACATTCATATGCATTACTCTTCTTTAAAATAAAATAACTGTACAGTCTGGTTGCTATTTTTTAGGTTAGTTGATTCAACTAATTAAGTTGTTCAGTCAGACAGCTACTATTACCTGATGGCTACGTAACTAGAAGGTTAAGACACTTATCTGTTATTTGATCATACTGAATCAGTTGAAGATGATTGGTGGATTTTGAGATATATTTGGTGGATTTGGAGAATGAATAGATAAAATCCTTCAGCTGGATAGTTCACTCTTCTTCTTTTTGGATAGTTAAATCAATGAGGTCCCAGTCGTGTTCATTGACCGCTTGATACTTGACCACTCGATAATTGATCACTTCATACTAAAAATAGTGGATCATCTACTAAATGTGTAGAAGCTAGTGCAGAAGTTTTCGACTCTGATAATTTCTTCTTCTTTCCTTGTGATTCAGTGCAAGAATCCCAAAGAAAACTTCAGGTTTTGACACTTTAAAAATTTAGAAACGAATCACAAAACTCCAAAGTGTAGAAACTGTGAAATACAAAAGTTTGCCATGTGCAAACCAAAAAATGACCATTCAGTATAGTTTGATTTTCTCGAGCACTATTCCAGCGATTAAGAGTTAATACCGTTTCCCCGTCTTTGATGTCCGTTTCGAATTCAAAGTGTACAAGTTTCACCGATGTTCCACGCGTTCGAGATCTTCCTTTTGTCTCTCCGCTGGCCACGGAATTTAATTTTTTTTTTTCTTCCCCCTCCACTTTCCTTGAAACTTCATCTCCTGGCCAATTCCAACAGAAATGAAGCCCTCTGCCAGGGACTTTGAATCTCGTTGGAATTGAATTTCCCGGAAACGGAGGGGTTGAACTTTTTCTTTGAACAACGTCCTATCCAACCAGCTTTTAATTAAGAAGTTCGAGTTTCTAGGTACAGTTTAGATGTTTATTGCTTCAGACAGTAAATGCACTGCTCGGATGACAAGAATCTTGTTTTGTGGATCTTTGACTCCTTCGATCTCCTGTTTACCAATATTTTGTCAACTACAATTAAAATTGCATGACAGGTTTTTTAATTGATGGAAGACTGTTCATTTTTAGGTTTTAGGTTATGTTTGTAGGAGGAACATTTTACGTAAATAATTTTTGAGGCAATTACTATAATCTTGAAGGTTTTCTTAATATTTCTATTACTGTAATCTTGAAGATTTTTTAAATATGTTTTCTATATTTTATATCATTTATAGTAACACTGGAAGTTGACAATTTATTTGTGGATCTAAAATGATCATAACCTAAAAAATATTATGGCTGTCCAAATATTTTCATATTTTATTAAGTCAAAATTATTGCTGCATGACATGAAAATAAATTAATATGGATTATTGTATAAATTGCTTACTTGTTGTAAATTGTTAAAAATTATTTTGATTGAAAGTATAAGTTCGTGAAAATATGACGTCAAATGGGAAACCAAAGATTCGTGTTCAATGTAAAATGAGTAGTAATGGATTGAAGTGAACAAAGGGGTCAATCAAGGATTGATTGATGGAATCAGGTGTGAAAACATTGATAGTTAGCTTCCTTTTTCTTTTGTAGCAGAGAGGACACTCGCATGATGGAGAGGACGCGGCGGAGTATACGGAAGACAACTTTAATCTTGTTGCTGCCTTTGCTATTAGCTGTGAGTAAAACTTCCAGTTACTTTCTGTCTGATATAGTTATATTTGTCCAGTGAAATGCTACCAAAGATATCATACTCTAAAAACAGAACTTGATGAGAGGTAACATTAGTAAGAGTTAAAAACACCTCCATTTTGTGAAAGACATTTTAACAAATAATAATAACAGATATTGTAGAAATCACTTTGAAAAGAAGTATGTCTACAAAATGACATGTCGTGCGAATAATCACACGTTAATAGAGGATCACAAAGATTAATTTATATGCAACAAATACAGAAATATAAAAACAGTAAATTGAATGACCCCGTTTAAGACATAATTACCCACAAAGTGTCACTGAAACGAAGTATACTTAAGTCAAAAATAATTACAAGTGTAAATTTTCGTAACGGGACATCCACTTTCGTTTTTGAACGACGACCATCTAATTACCCCATATTCTAACCGGGTGTATGCTCTGACAATCAGCTGTTCCGTTCTTGTATATCTAACAGTCAATCAAATAATCAATTCTCGATCGGTATATCATTTTCTAAGCTCCAATTTACCGTCAAACGAATGGTTGATCACCACTTACTTAGCGAATGTTCTGGTCACTTAAAGTGACAGACGGCTCGTACGGTGACCGTTATTCCGCATTGCGTGAAACAGGTGAATCTATTTATGCAGTGTTGTACGTACATACTTTTTACGACCCATTTAAATAGCATTCACATTAGGCCACTTTTGGTTAGCGATACTGAATTCATTTGAATAAGGTTAGTTCAAGATGGCTGGTTCACTCTTTACTTTATTTCGGACTTGTGGTTTGAGTTTGATATTCAAGATGGCTGACGGGATTGTATTGTCAGCTGTGAGTAGTTCTTAATTGGTAGTTCGTAACTAATTCGTTAATTGACCAAAGGAGTTGACAATTAATAGGAAGAGTTATTATGGAGTTGTTACAGAGGTGGTTCGATGTGGATGAATTTATGATTATAATCCAACAACTACAATTATGGAAGGTTTAATGACATCAATTGTTATGAAGTACCTAATGATTAGTTCGTTTAACACCTACAGTGAAATCATTATACCAAAACTTGTCAATAAACATCTTCAATAATATAATAATCAGCCAACAGTCCCACAAATCGACATCTAAAATCAAAGAAGAATCGTCAATCTAAAAACCGCCCAAGGCGCCAAAAATCTCCAAGCTGACATTCCGCATCGTTGAAATTTTTGAAGATGAAAAGGTTCGATCGTCCCGTTAAGCATTTTCATAACCGTTAAAAAATGCGAAGTGTCCTTTCAACTTGAGGGAGGGGACAAAGCGAACGACGCCGTGCTTCATTGATGCCTAAACGTTTGTCGGTTGGACCGCTATTCTCGGGGCACACGTGTTGTGCTGGCCGAGAAACAACACGACGTTAATGCTTAAGAGGAATCAACGTAGCCACGGGCCCTCCTTGTGCTACATATTGTCTGCTGACGCTGATCGTTTCGAAGTAAAAGCCTCAATGAAACGGTTACCACCCTGAACAGCCTGCGACAAGTGCGCGCATGCGCGTGCGCGTGCGCGTGTGTGCTCGAATCAGGCGGGTTTTTTGTTTTTCTCTTTCTGTGTCACTTCTTCGTTCATTGAAATTTACCGATTTCTGTCGCTTCTTGCGATCTTTGTTTCACTTATTTTCTGTGCTTTTGAATTCTTTTGTTTTTCGTTCTTTTTTGGTTGTTGCTTAATTTTTGGGCTGTGAGGTGTTTAAGGAAGTTATGGTAGGAGTGGATGTTCTAAGAGGAAGTTCTAATATGAACGTTGATATTTGACAATTAGTGAATGATATTCTATATAATTAGTCTCTATGTATTTTCATATGTCTACATATGACTACCACTATGACAATTAATATTTTAAAACAATAATTATATATATAACATTATTGTACGTCAAAGGATACTGAGTCTGACACGATGTGATCATATACAAATTTCACAAAATGGCACTTTTGACATATTAGTCTTAAGCTTGAACTTTTTGTAAAAACTGTTACATTAATAATATTATTAGCGTCCTCATAAAATGGTTGATTTCAAACTACACCAAATCTAAGTTGAACAAATATAAAATATGATTTTCTCATAAAATATTCTGATGACATAACAGTACCTCAAAATGGCACCCACAGCACACCAATTTGAAGGTTAGATGTTGATCAAAATGGCTACCTAAACGGTCAACGTTCTCAGAATAAAATTCCTATTAAAAGAAGAACGAATTAACTAACTTATGATTTACAGTTGGTTGGTTAAAATAAACGTTTCGTACAAAGTCACAACCATGAATCACAAATTTTATTTCCGAAAGGAGTTAATCTTGAAGGTTTTACGGTTTAATTCGTAGCGGTGCTCGCAATGCAAATCGATATTTCGTACACGATACGTATTTATTTTTAGCTATCCCGGCAAAATTTGTTTACACGGATAGCAGCCTGTCTGCTGTAACAAAGTGGAATAAAAGAAAATACGTACGTGGTCGGTGCATCGTGTTTACACGATGCAGACGTAAATGTATCGCAGTTTGTAGACGGTAATTCTACGCTTCACGAGCCAATGAGTTTTCCGATATTCTCGTAACTATAAAAACCAGAATAAACGCAATTAATTTGCTCGAGAACTCGCAGCGCTTTTTTGAACTTTAATTAATACTATTTTTTTTGTTAAGCGGTATCACGCGGTATAACAGGTGTACAATGTTTTGACGAACGTTTTATGGAATCTGCGAGTTTTACCGTTGAATACGTTTCGCTCGATAACTCGTTATACGTTCAATCATACGTTTCGAGGATGTTATATCGTTTGCCTCGTTAAATATCTACTGTGTATTTTCGATATGAGCATTTATGAAATTCTTTTGGTGGTTAGTTGGAAAAGACGTGTGGTTAAAATGTTTGTGAGGGGAGTTATGTGGCATTTTTTGTGGAATTTGGAATTTTGGAATTTTGGGATTTGGAGGTTTTGGGATTTGGGGGTTTTGGGATTTGGGGGTTTTGAGATTTGGGGGTTTTGATATTTGGGGGTTTTGGGATTTGGGGGTTTTGAGATTTGGGGGATTTGGGATTTGGGGATTTTGGGATTTGGGGGTTTTGGGATTTGGTGGTATTGGGATTTGGAATTTTGGGATTTCGGGGGTTTTGGGATTTTGGGGTTTTGGGATTTTGGGATATTGAGATATTGGAATTTTGGAATTTTGGAATTTTGGGGTTTTAGGATTTTGGAATTTTGGGTTTTTAGAATTTTGGGATATTGGGATTTTGAGATTTTGGGATTTTGAGTTTTGAGTTTTGGGTTTCGGGTTTCGGGTTTTAGGATTTCGAGATTTGGAACTTTAAGATTTTACAATTTTGGGTTTTAGAATTTTGCGATTTTGAGATTTGGAATTTAGGGATTTTTAATTTTTCCAGCTTAGGTCTTCGAAGTTTTGGGAGCTTGGAACTGTTGAATATTATAATTTTGGAACATCAGGAACTTGGGAATTGTAGAACATTGAAATTTTATGAATTTATAATTTTGAAATTTTTAAATTATAATAATTTGGAATTTTGAAATTATAAGCTTAAAAATTTGAAAGTCTGGAATTTTTAAACTGTAACTTTTGACCTTTGGAATTTTCGACCATGAACAAGGGAATCTAAGTTATATGGTAGTTTGAAAATTTGACTGTTTTGCACCTTGACCTAAAACTCCAAAACTCTAAAACTCAAAACCATGCAAACCTCTAAAATCCACAACCAGCAAATATTCATCAAATTCTTCGTTCCCCACATGTCCATCCCAACAAGGTCTCGTCAATTTATCCAGCATCGATATCATCGTCTCGACTACCTGTTATACGACACTATAAATACCCTGTATAAGGCTTAGCAGCAAGTGTTACTATGGTGTGTCCACTGTTAACTATAAGATCCGAACAAGCGAAGCGAAGATAGTAGGTCATCGCGCCGGACACGATGTCCTCTTTCGACTATACTCTCTAGACGATCTTCTTTCTTCCTTTCTCGTTCTTCGCCACATTTTCTTGATCTCTGCTCCCCACCCATGCTCTCTCGTCTGACTCTCTTTCTCTATCGGTAGTCTCCTGCTGAGACGATATATAGCGGGTCAGATTCTAGTCGAGTTCCAGCCCAGGATTGACTTCTTTTCCATCGGCAGCTTTCTTTCCTGAGAAAACGTCTCGTCCCGTTCTGTTTTGACCCGTCTCGGCTCGGCTCCGCTCGGCTCGTCTTGCCTTCTTTCGTTTCTGATCTTCTATGGAAGACTTTTAACGCGAAACGATCCCGCGTATCCTGTTCGTGTGACGAAAGATAATAAGCTCTTTGTTAGGCGGAAAAAATCGAAAGGGGTCGTGTTAATTTTCTTTGCATTGTGTCTTTTCTTCTTTGAGTTGAGGTTCTTTGGATTTTAATGAATACACTAGTTTTTTAGTGTTTAACAAGGTAATTATGTAGATTTTTTAGAGGTTAGACAATAATGGTATGACGATAATAAATTTATATATTTAGGGTTTAATAGGGCTTTTTTTGTTATGATAGTTTATGATAGTATTGATTAAAATGTGGATGAGAATAATTTTGAATGCAAATATGGGAGTTTGTTATATAACGGTGTTGCACTTAGTTGGAGTGCATTTAACGGTACTGCATTTAGCTGTGCTGCACTTAAGAGTGTGGCACTTAACTGTACTCCATACTTGAAAATTTAGGTATTTGAGAAATGTAATATTTATTAATTTAGAGGTTTTGAAAGTAAACTCTGACACTATTAAATTCTTGAAAATTAAAAACTTGACTGAAAAAAAAACTTGAGAACTTAAAAATTTATGAAACTTCACTTCTCAAGAATTTATAAGAATTTTAAGAATTTCAACTACATTTTGTTCCACTCGTAAGCCAACCTTACCTCAAAAAAATTAAAGAAACCTAAACAGCACTCTTAAAGAACACCCCTATAAGATTTTGC